TCGATCGAGTTTGAGTTCTTGGCAATCTGCTTTTAGAAGTGCTTTGTTGGAAAGTGGGGTTGGTCCTGATAATGAGTTTGATTTGAGAAACCTTGTGGGGACTAGAATTGGAGGCAGCATATTTGATCGGAAAGATAATAGAAATGGAGCTGTGGAGCTTCTGAAGAATGTTGTACCTGAAAATCTTAAAGTTGCAGTCCAAGCCACTGTCACGAGAATCATTTTCTCTGGTAAGATTATTATCAATATTTATGTAGTTCATCTCCAAATCAATTGACAAAGAGAGGAGTAGCCCACTTATATTATAAACTTTTGTTAGTTTCATTAACTTTACAATGTGTCATTCTTAACCTACCCCCTAAAGATGGTATCCCTTTTGGGTTCCCTAATTTAGCCGGATCCCATTTTTGGATCGAATGCTCATTTGAGCTTTTGGTCACTAATACAATATTAATATTCATGTGTTGTTCCATCTCAAAACCAATTGAGAATGAGAGAAATATCCCACTTATATTGTAAACCCTGTTAGGTTCGTTAACTTTTTTAATGTGACATCCTTAATATGCTCCTTCAAGATGGTGCGTTTTTAGGTTCACCAACTTTGTCAGATTCCATTTTTGGACCGAATGCTCGTTTGAGCTTTAGTATTTGATATCATAATATTAATATTCATAGGCTTCTAAACCAATTGGCAACAATAATAGTAGTCCATGTATATTATACACATTTGTAAGGTCATTTTTTTCCTTTTTTTTTTTCAATGTGAGATCCTTAGCATGTCCCTTAAAATCGTGAATAGCTCTTTCCGCTCACCGATACTTATAAATCTCACTTCATAAAGGCAACATTGTAAAAGGTGTCGAACAACATTGAACTCACAGGTCTATCTGCGAGCGGCGTTCTATATTCAGACTCAAAAGGAAAGTTACATAAAGCATTCATCCGCGAGAAAGGAGAGATTATTGTACGCGTTGGAGCCATTTGGAAGTCCACAACTTCTCCTCCTAACTGGGATTGGCCCAAATCTCATCTTTCATCCTTAAAACTACCTGTCGTCCTCCACCAACCGCAAGTCGGTGAGTTCATGGCCGACAACCCGCGCTTCGGCGCCCACATGGTGCTTCCATTTCCATTGCCGACCACATACGTAGAAACTGTCGGAACATTAGAGGGCAATATCCATTTGGAATCTCTCTCAACTGTTCTACCATTTCAAGTTCCGCCAACGTTTGGTATTTTCCCTCGTCGATCTGATGCCGTCAATCTGAGCGTAGTCGTCATCGCCGGAAAATTCACGTAAGTGGATTCTGTGGGGTCGCTCCGGCTGGCTTCTTCCAGTGATGTGAAGAAGAGTCCCGTTGTGCGATTCAATTATTATTCTCATCCTGATGATCTTGCGCGGTGTGTTAGAGGAGTGAGGAAAGTGGGGGATTTTCTGAGAACCCAAATCACGGGGGAGATTAAGACAAGGGATTTGGAGGGTAATAAGGGATTCGTGTTTTTAGGGCCTTTGTTGCCGGAAAATATGGCGGATGATAGTTCTGTTGCAGAGTACTGCCGGAGAACGGTGACGACGTTTTGGCATTATCATGGAGGATGTTTGGTCGGAAAAGTTGTCGACGGCGATTACAGAGTGATCGGAATCGGAAATCTTCGTGTGGTGGATGGCTCCACTTTCTCCGACTCTCCCGGAACCAATCCTATGGCCACCGTCATGATGCTTGGCCGGTGAGTTTCTCTTAAGCATATAAATTTCAGTTTTCTTGCCCCACTGAAATAAGAGTTTTAAATTTAGATTTCATTTTAGTTCTTAAATTTTTAAATTTATTCTATTTTATTTCGGAATTTTTCAAACATCTTTTTTGGTTTTTTAAACTAAAAAATAATAATTCTTTTCATCACTATATTTTCAACTTTAGTTCATTTTACTTTTAAAAAAGTTACCATTTTGATTTTTATTTTCAAAATTTTAACACAAATTCTACTGCTAACAAAAAAAAAATCTGTAATATAAAGTTATAATTACCTTTATAGAATTTTGATGAGATTTTCAAATTGTGATAGAAAAATGATATTAAAAATAAAATTTAAAGATCAAAATAATCATTTTTTTTTAAATACTAGGTAGAAAATAGAGAAATTAAAATGAACCTTTCTAAAATATAGAGACTAAATAAATCAAGGTTGGAAGTACAAGAATCAAAATAGTATTTTAATATTTGAATTTTTTATTTTTATTTATTTATATTATTATTTTGGTGTTATTTTGCTTTGGATGTATGGATATCCTGACTTTGGGTACATACTTATAATGAATTAATGCGGTGATGTGAGACGATTTAAGTTATATAGATTCATTAAGGTAAGTATTAAATGGATTAATATAAGTTGCCAAATGTTAAAACAAGATCATTATTTTTAAATTTTTATGAACTAAAATAGATAGTTTAACCGAAATAGTTATTTAAATAAAGTATTGGGGCTAAAATATAATTTAGATCAAAAGTTTATCTAATTAAATAAAATATGACAAATATATTCAATTTATTGACAAGGGTTGTTTTCCGTACTCTAAAGACAATTTTTACTAAGAATTTTTCCCTCTGATATTTAAAATTTTTTAATTTTTAAAGTGATGAGCTCTTCTTTGATAATGATTTTGTTTATTTTTTGTTTATACTTATTTACTTTTTTCTTAAAATTTTTATAATAAATAAATATGAATTTAAAATCGTATTAAAGCTCTAAGAACTTTATTAAAAAGTAGTTTTTTGTTTTTAGTTTACGACATTGTTTCTAAATTTGTCTAAGATTTGGATTTAAAAAGTATACAAATAAATATAAAGACAACTGATTATTTCATTATCTTTTATTTCCATAAACTAACAATTTCAAGTTTATTTTACAGGTATGTTGGCCTTAAGATGCTTCAAGAAAGATTAAGTTGAAGAGTTTAAACTAAATGGCTAGAGGAGAGGTGGAGAAAAAAAAGGGCTTCGTTTACAAATTCCTATCTAAATTGGAAAGTTATTATATGTAATACTTTTCTATTTGTGTGTTGAGGGAGTTCTCCTAATTAAAATAAATGTACTTTTAAATGCTAAAAATGGTATCTTAGACTTTTTATGTTTGATCATAATTAAGAAATATCTTTAGAAAAAAAAGACAGTATTCAGAACTCGGAATTTGTGGTTGCAAATATTTTCTGGAATCATTTGAGAACTGTGGCGGACCACTTAAAGGGGTTTAAAAGGAAAAAAAAATAAAATTACTCGTTTTAAAATATACTAACTTCCAAAACTTATTTTAAAAATAATGTCTCCCATTAGTTCATCGTCAAATAAGTGAAATTGTATGTCTCCTCTGAGAGGCGACATGTAGCTACGTTGTAATTAATTATTATTTAAAATTTGTAGTCTTAATTCTCGACTTTTTTCCTTTTAAATTAAAAGCATGTCGACCTCCAATCCTTCTTTTTTTCTTTAATCTCTGAAGTTCTATATGGACAATAAAAGCAAAGACGGGTTCAAGCCCAATCTAAATCCGATCTAAACTCGGCCTGACCCAAGCTCAACACGATCCTCTCATAGATTATATTTGATGTAAATCTTTGAATTTTAAATCGGGTTGGCCCATAACCTGCTCATTTGAGTCGTATTTGAATCAACTCGTTAGATCGGTCCAAAGACTCGATCAAATATAATAATATATTTTATATTTATGTTATCTATAATAATAATTACTATTAATATATAATTAGTTGATATTTAGTGGTCTTCTTTATTTTCATTCTCCTTCTTTTTTTTTTAATATTAATACGGTAATACAATTTATTTTTTAAAAGTAAAATAAAGTAAGTAACAATAATATGATTTAACAAAATTTCTTGATAACTTTTTTTTTTTAAAATGGAAAAGAAAGTACAAAAGATTAAAATATAAAAACAAATTTTAAAACTTTAAAGCTTTTGGTTTGAAAAAATATATATAAAAAGCTAATTACTTCACACAAAATTGGAATGTTAGAGGCAAAATTCAAACCAACTACATATGATAGGATCATTTTGTATGTTATTTGTGTCAATTTTGAAATGTCTGGCCTAATTTGTGAGCATGGAAATATCGGATTTAACCTATTCCTTCTCAATTTACACTAGTCATTTGGACCAATGAACCACCTATGGTAGTTGTTTTGTTGACGGTTGAGGGCAAAGAAAAGTGCATTTTTTTTAAAGAGACTTGTATTATGAAGGAGTAATAATAGACGCAAAACGTTGATGATGTGTTTTTCTTTTTTCCGAAAAACGTATCATATTTGCAATATTTCATTGATAATTTGTTGAATTTAATGCAAACGAACTATTACGACACTTATAAATAGCAGCGATTTGTTTATATATTACCTATTAGCTGCTACTAACTTTTACCATAGTTACCACTTCAACATAGTTCAAATAGTTAAAGCATTCTCGTCCGATCAAGACCGATTCTGTTTCAATTAAATAGGCTATACGGGACCTAAATAATTAATTAAAAAATGGCAACTCAACTAAAAGTTAACCAAAAAAAAGTTAAAAGTGGATATCTAACTATAGAAGTTAGAATCTGGTTACCAAACCCAACAAAATCAGTAGTAGTTTTGACAAAATGATCCATTCAACAGATTACTTTGAACTATATATTTGGTAGTTGCTTCTTTTGCTAATTAAATAAGTGTAGTAGAGTAGAAGATGACAGCATAAATCCCATCTCATTCCAAATCTCTGTCACAAAAATTTAGGATGGAGGGAAGAATATATTAATCTTCACACAAACAAACAAAAAAAAAAGTTTAATATTTTTTCAAATTTTCTAAGGAAATTCTGAGAACTTGAAGGCTCACATAATCATTTAATTTCTTACCAGAGTAATTAAATAATAATAATATATACCAAAATAAGGCAAATGAAAAGAGAGAAGTTATAAATTTGTCTCCTTGGCCTACCTATGATTTTTTGGACAATGAAGATAGGTAATATTTTCATGATCTCATTCTTTTCTAATAAAACAATAACTTCAAAAAGAAATTCATTCAAGATATATAATATGCATTACTTGTATTCTATTATAGATTACTCCAACTTGTGTCTATATAAACATTCAATAGTTTGCTTGGTTGCATAGGTAAACTCCCCATAAAGCTTTTCAAAACATGGAATATAAAATCATGCCTGCCTTTCTCCTACTCAGCCTATTTGTCTTTTATCTCAGCTCACTCCCACTTGGGAGTCTCCTCCTCACCCATTCAACCCAATGAAGGTAAAACAATCTCTCTCTCAACAATTCTATTTTTTTTTGTCGTGGGATGACACAGTGGTAATAATTTAGAATTTTGGGATACCACCTCTTTTTGAGGTCTCAAAGTTCAAACTCTACATTCATCGCAGTGTTGCTTTGTCCTGGTAACAAGTCTCGATTATATGGATCCACTAGTGTAAGCCACCCAGTATCGATTCTGTATTTCTTATTTGTTATCAATTTTTTTTCTTCTCAGATGTGAGCTACATGAAGTTTGTGTACGATGCCAATAATTTGCCAGAAAAGGAGGAATACGACTACATAATAATAGGGGGAGGAACGGCAAGCTGTCCATTAGCTGTAACAATATCATCAAACTTCTCTGTCCTCCTTCTTGAAAGAGGTTCTGTCCCTTATAACTTCTCTACTGTACTTAACATACAAGGTCTTTCAAATGTTTTCACCAACGACGATGACGGCGAAAATCCCTTCCAGCGGTTCATATCAGAGGACGGTGTGGAGAACATAAGAGGGTGGATCCTCGGCGGCGGCAGCATGATCAATGCTGGCTTCTACTCGAGGGCTCATAAAGAGTTCTTTGAAATGCAAGGCATGGAATGGGACATGGAAATGGTGGAGCAGGCGTATAAATGTGTGGAAGAGACTGTGGTGTCTCGCCCGAGCTTGAGTTCTTGGCAATCTGCTTTTAGAAGTGCTTTGTTGGAAAGTGGAGTTGGCCCTGATAATGATTTTGATTTGAGAAACCTTGTGGGGACTAAAATTGGAGGTTCCATATTTGGTAGGGAAGGGAATAGACATGGAGCCGTGGAGCTTCTCAATAAAGCTAATCCCGTAAATCTTAAAGTTGTCGTCCGTGCCAAAGTTGAAAGAATCATTTTCTTTGGTAAGTGATGATAAATATTGGTTAACTTACTCTATTTTGTCTCTATGTCTAAGCTTAAATTTTAATTTATCCTTTTAAGATTTGTTTCGTTGAAATAGCACAGTGACAAGTATCTTGAGTCTTATGGTATCATTTATCATAAAATTTTAGGTCGAAACCTTCATTTAATTATTTTTTTTAATGTATGTTCATACTTCTTTTTTGAATGAACTGGTTTCGATTTCTCTTTAAAAAAATAAAAAAGTTCAAACTTTGTGCTAGTCTTAATTTTGCTCAGCTCAGGCAATAAACCCAGTTCTACGCCATAAGCCACTTGGCATAAAATTTACTTTCTGGTCTCTATAGTTTTAAAAAGTTCCAAAGCTCTTTCTATTTCTTTATGCACCTTTAAAATCAAGGCCCATATTTCCATAATCTTCTACTCAATCTTTATCCCGAATACAATCAATCAAATCTTACATGCAACCTGTGTATGAACTCGTAGGTTTATCCGCAAATGAGGTTTCATATTCCGATTCAAAAGGAAAGTTGCACACAACATTCATACACAATAAAGGAGAGATTATTGTAACTGCTGGAGCCATTGGAAGCCCCCAACTTCTCCTCCTAAGTGGGGTTGGCCCAAAATCTAATCTTTCATCCTTAAAACTACCTGTCGTCCTCCACGAACCACATGTCGGTCAATTCATGTCCGACAAGCCCCGTTTTGGCACCGTGGCGGTGCTCCCATTTCCGCTGCCAACCTCCACTGTAGAAGTCGTCGGAACTTTAGAGGGCAACACCTATTTCGAATCTCTGTCCAGCTTTTTACCATTTTCAATTCCGCCGTCGTTTGCTCTTCTTCCTCCTCAATCTACTTCCGTCAACATGAGCTTAGTCGCCATCGGAGGAAAATTCACTAAAGTTGATTCTGTAGGGTCGCTTCAGCTGAATGCGGAAATGAGTCCCATTGTTCGATTCAATTATTATTCTCATCCTCATGATCTTGCGCAATGTGTTAGAGGGTTAAGAAAAATCGCAGATTTGCTAAAAACCCAAACAATAGAAAATATTAAGACAAATGATTTGGAGGGTAAGAAGACACTTCGGTTTTTGGGGGCTCCGTTGCCGGAAAACATGGCGGATGATATATTTGTTGGGGAGTACTGTCGGAGAACGGTGACGACGTTTTGGCATTACCATGGAGGATGTTTGGTCGGAAAAGTTGTTGACGGTAATTACAGAGTCATCGGAATCGAAAATCTACGTGTAGTAGATGGCTCCACTTTCTCCGACTCACCGGGAACGAATCCTATGGCTACTGTCATGATGCTTGGCCGGTGAGTAATTTATATATCTCAATTAACACCTGGCTATGTTAGTTTTTGATACTTTTTAGAGAAATTATAAATGTAATATAAATATGTATTGATGAAAATATCATTGTTTTTTGTGTTTTTAGAAAAAAATGTTCCAAAGTGATGGTATAAATTTATAATTTATGCCACTTTTTAAATCGTTATATATATGAATGCATATTAAAAAAAATCATAAAAATAGTTTCTTTTCTCATAAATGCATATTAAAAAAATCATAAAAATTATTTCTTTTCTTAAAAAAAAAAAAAAACAGGATTCAAACATGAATCATGTTTTATATATGTCAATTACTTCGAGTCATGTATGCATACTTTTAATATGTATTTATAAAATTATTATTTCTTTTTTTTTTCAAAAATCGTCAACAGCAGGATTCGAACCTGCGCAAGCAAAGCCCATTAGATTTCGAGTCTAACTCCTTAACCACTCGGACATGTTGACATTGTTGGTCAAAAGTTATTTCTCTTTATACACTTTTCTGTCTTGCTTGTCAAAAATTCAAAATAAATTTCAGTATATACATATACTTGGAGTGACAACCTTCTTTCATAATTTATTTTACTGGTTTACTATTTTTTTTTAATTTATTTTTTGAAAATGTTTTTAAGATTATATTAGAAAACATATGAAGACATTATCAAATAAGATAAAAGTTTATTATCAAATAAGATAAAAGTTTGTTAGATATAGACTCGTGTTTTAGAATTCTTTTTAAGTTTTTTTTTTCACCATTAAAATTTGTTAACGACTAACTATATATAGCATAATAATTTCTTGAAAACGAAAAGAATAGAATTTATTTATTTTGTTGGATAGCTTGAGATTATTTCATTACCTTTTATTTCCATAAAACCTAACAATCTCATAATTATTTTGTAGGTATGTTGGCCTTAAGATGCTTCGGGAAAGATTAAGTTAAGAGGGTATAATAGCCATTTTCTTATTTTACAAATGTCTCCCCCAAAAAAGAAAGTTTATATGTAAACAATTTCTAGTCTGCATGTTTGAGAGTTCTTTTATTAGTTACAATAAAAGTATTCTTGAAATGGTAAAACTATATAATATATATTTTTTTATATTTGGTCATAATTTAGAAATACCTTTAATTCAAACCTAATTGATCGAACTCAAACTGCTATGAGCTATGAAATATATCGGCCTTGCGTTGCGGGGAAAAAAAAAGAAGAGGAAGAATAATAATAATAATAATAAGTTGTGGTATATATTACAAATAATTTTTGGAATAAATTGACAAATTTTCACCCATCCTCAAGTTATGGTGAAATTTTGTAACTTATCTTGAAAATGTTGCTAAATTTACATATTCTTAATGGAGAAATATATATTCTTACCAAGTGCAATAGTGGCTTCCTCAAAATGGAAGGTACATAAACTAAATACAATATCACCCAAAAAAAAGGAAAAAAAGAAAAAGAAGACAAAAAAAAATTAGTCATGGGTCAATCTGTATATATTTCAATAGGAAATTCATTTATTATCTTTCCTCAAACATCAATCTCCTACATCCCGCACATTTGTTCAGAAAATTGGGATCTCCTTGATGATCCTCCTTTCATCACARAGGGGCAGAAGATGAGTTGGGAGTTTCATCGAGATTACTATCACTCGTCCTAACCTCTCATATGTTGTGGGGATTGGTTGTCAATGTATGTTATGCTATCTCCGCAGAAGTTAAATTTGGATGAACAGGGATGTTGAGAGGCCAGACATGATTGCGCCCTTCGACGGAAAGTTTTTTCAAAACATAACTTATCAATAGAGGCATTTATGACTTTTCTCAAGGATGAAGGTTCGAAATCCCAACCCCACACATTTGTTGAGTTTTTCTTTTTTTTTTTAATTGAAAAAGGAAACACCGCACCATTCATTCAAAATGTATGTGAGAAACATACAATAAGGAGAAGCTAAATAAAATAGCTCCAGTTTAATGGGATGGTGGAGATATCATAATTACAAAAGAAGGTCGATTTGGTAGACCAAGAGGAAGCAGCTGTCTTACTATCATCCCACAGAGTGTCTTCACATATCTATATTTATTTGAGAAAGATGGTTATTTCTCTCAAGCAGATAAACCGAAGGATAAAGCAGAACCTAGTGTACAAAAGCACATTTCTACTGTTTGAGAGGTGTATTTATGCATTCCCAAACGAAGACATCGACACAGTCAGGAAGGCTAATAATAGATATTTTGAAAACTTTGAAAAAACGGTACCAAAGGGATGTTGAGTAAGGACAGTAGAGAATAGATGATCCATAGAGTTGCTACTTTATAGCAGAGAGTGCATTGACTTGGATTTAAGCCGACAGAAGGAAGTCCAACTTAGAGTCTGTCGTGTGTATTAATGCCCCTATGCAGCACGCCATAAAAAAAAACTTACATTTTCTAGGGGCAAGATTTTCCCAAATTTTGGCTGCTGAAACAATCAGTGTGTTTGCACTATGGTCAGAAAGCAAAACCTTCATTGATTTGATAGTGAAAATACCATCCTTTGTACCATTATATTCCATAGGATGCAGTCATGGCCATACGGATGTGTGAGCTTCGGAAAGGTGGAGGAGATGGAGTTTCACGCAATTTGTTCTCTTTCGACGAGAGGTCTTCGGGGCGAAAAATACCAACAGTTGTCAGATTTGCTCCAAGCTTCTCGAACTGATAGAAACCTGCAATTTGAGAGAGCAAAAAAACGAGGAAGTACTGAATATAAAGGGCCTCGACCAGTCCAGTTGTGAAACCAAACAGGGTATCGCTGCCTTCCCAAATCTTCCAACTTGTCTTAGTGTAGAATATCTCACTGCATTTTGCAACATGAAACCATGGAGAATGTGCGCTGTTATACTTGCAAATCGTGGGAGCATTTGAAGGAGAGATAGCAATGTATTTGGCGTCGATCAATAATCTCCATAAACTATCTTTTTCTGTATGATATCTCCAGAGCCATTTCGACAGAATATATAGCAGGCATTTGAGTCCCGAATTTTACCTATTCCAAGACCACCTTTATCCTACGGAAGATTTATTACATCCCATCTGATAAGGTTTGAGCAAGGGTGCGATCTGTTCCTCTCCAAAGAAAATTTCTCATTTTCTTTTCTATCAACTTAGACACTTGGGCTGGGATTTTAAAAACTGAAAGATAGTAAGTTGGAAGTTTGCTCAAAACAGCCTCAAGCATAGTCAATTTTCCTCCTTTCGATAGATAAGCATAGTTCCAGCTGCTGAATTTCCTGTCGAATTTGTATAGGATCGGCTCCAAAAAGAAAAAGCTCTATGGTATAGTACAATTCCATATCTCAGCCGCTTGGGAAAGATCCACCTGTGAAACATTTATTCCTGAAATAGAGGACTTTTGTAAATTTATTCTTAAACCCGATGCAATCTAGAATGCTTTTAAGAGAAGAAGGAGATTTCAAATTTTTATTGTTTCATCTCAAAATCAATTGGAAATGAGAGGATAGTTCATGTCAACATGTCTCCATGGTTGCTCATTTGAGCATTTTGGACTCTGATATCATATTAATATTAATAGGGTTACATCTCACACCAATTGACAATGAGAGGAGTAGCCTATGTCTATTATAAATCACTGTAAGGTCCATTTTCTTTTCAATATGGATCCTTAAGACGACTTGGAGAAAGAGGGTCTCCCGGGCGAATTCCCCTTTTTGCATTTACCCTCCCCTTTCTGCATTTGTCGAGTTAAAAAAGAAAAACAAAAAAAAGCAATGGTCGTTGTTGAAAGTCGATCTATGGAACGTTGTTATCGCTACCTAAAATGTCCCCTTTGTCGGTGCAACTGAGAAGCTAAGGAAATTTTCAATATATAAATAACACATTGCAACAATTGTAGATCTGGTAAGGAATTGATGCCTGTGGCTCCAGAAATGTTGCACAAGGGAATGCAAACTAAGTAGCTCGTAACTCTTTAGCTAAGAGAGCACTATTATATTTCACAATTTCTCTAACAAGTGAGAGAGAGAGTTTTACTATACTTGAATCAACCTGTTCCTTTTTCATATTAAAAGCCATATGGTTTCCAACTCAAATCTCTAATTTAGTCGAGTAATTTAACTTTCACACCTTCCTTAATTTATAATAATTATCATAGTTCTCTATCTCTCAAGTGATATAAAGAAAATGGTGTTGGGTAGAAAACTATTAATATGCGGATAATACTTAGCTCCTTAACTGTAAGGAGGAATTTTACCCTTGTCGTCCTTGTTTGACAACTAAGGAGAGAAATGACAAAAACACAAACTTTTTATAAAAATTTATGAGTTGTTAATTTTTCAATGGTGGTAAAGATAATATTTGGTCATCACTATTACAAAGGCAAGTATCTTCCTTAATATACCTTGTAATAATATTGGTGTCTAAAAGAGATCTTACTAATCCGATCCATAGAATTTTTTTTAGATACTATTTCATTGAGAATGTATGTGCGATACATTTAAAAAGAAGGAGGCTAAATAAAAGCGCTCCAATTGAGAGAAATGGTAGAAATCTCGTAATTACAAAAGAGATGAGACTTTGACGTCCAAGAATAGGCTAAAGTTATAGAATCATCTCAAAGATGAGTGTAAGATCGTGAGGTACGTGAGAAAATGTGATTGTTACGCTCCGCCAAACACTTCAAGCTCTGATGGCATTGCCCCAAGTAATTCCTCTTCTATTTTTCATAGGGAAGTGTTAGGATAATGGAGCCAAAACAGATGACTTATGTCCTATGAGGAAAAAGATTTTCAACACTACTATCAATTCTTACAAGGATTATGATATTATTGTCATATAAGGATTACAATATTGTTTTCCTATAAGGATTGAGATATTTGACCTCTTATAAATAGAACCATTTTGTTAAGGTTTCATTTGTACAGAATCCAAATAAGAGAGACTTGAGTGGTTGTGGGCAGTGTGTAAAAAAAAGGAGTTTGTATCTCGTGGGTTTAGTGAGGGTATTTTCAATTGTGTAATCTTAGGTAGTCATTGAAATGGTGCTTAGAAGCAAGATAGTAATATCTTGAGTGAGATCTCCATTGTAATATTCACAACTATAGTTGAACCTGCTTTTTCGCAGAAGATTGGACGTAGTCCCAAGATAGGGACGAACCAGTATAATCTCTGTGGTGTTAAGCTTTTATATCCCTATCTCTTATTCCTTTGTCATTGTTACTTAATTACTCATCTGTTTTTAACTTGTAGAAGGGGAAAATCAAACAGTTCATGTTTGAAGAAGTTACAGGAGAATCAATTTATCTATAACTTTTTCCCAACAATTGGTATCAGAGCGTTTGGTTTAGATAGTCATGGGATCAGCACAGAAGTCAGGTTTTGAAGGAATCATGAAGTTCGATGGGGCCAATTTCGAATATTGGAAGATGTAGATTAAGGATTACTTGACCTGCAAGAAGTTGAATAAAGCTTTAAATGAACGACCAGCAGGGATGATGTTGGGTGTGTTGCCCTAAACTCGTAGTTTGTATTTTGTGTAAAAACAAATGTATATTCAATAAAGTTTTATTCAATAAATTTGTTGTTGAATTCATAGCATTGCATTGTCCAAAATCCAATAAACTAAACATCCGATGTTATTTTAGTGTAACCGGGACAGTATATGTACTGGGTATATATTTGATATACTGGGTATATATTTGATATACCCCTGATATACGAGGTATATATTTGATATACTCTGATATAGAAGTGGATAATGTCCCGTGAATAACCTAAAAGGTCTATAGTATATGGATAAGGCTGGGTATCTTATCTTGGCAACACTATGGATATGGCCCACTCTGTAAAGGTTACATACGACTCGATCCAGGTCGTTCGTGTGGAGACATGCGAGTGGGGGTATCCTATACAATGAGTTTATATAAGACCGGACCACGAAATAGCCAATCTTTAGATGTAACATCGTTAACTAATATATTGATGTTTCTTAGGATGACCAGACAACTCATT